TAGGAACTAAATAACTACTTTTAATGGATATAAAGTTGCATCTGTTAATATTATTTAATGGAACTAGCATTGAACAATAACAACATTAACAAATATTAATAAATACAGTAACAAATGTATTGCTCATTGTTAATGTTAGTTAATGCATTACCTAATATTAACTAATTATTGTAAAGTGTTATTGCGCTTTTTAACCTAGTCTTGCGTTGATGTATTATTTTTGTAAGTTTTGTGGCTATACCTTTAAATTATGAAGTACTTTTGTGTATTTTACTGTTTATCCCAGTGCAGTGTCCAGTTCCATACACATCCATTGTAAATGCATTACTGTTTTTTTGTTTTGTCTTTTAGCTGTCACAGATCAACCTCAACCGTTTTTGAGTCTGAAACATTCCTTTAAGCCTCATGATCGAAACGCCCATGTGCCATGTAGGAACACCCAGATCTCCTGCTTTGAATGTGTCAATCTGATTGTATTTCCTATAGTGTCTGTATTTGTGGCTTAGAAGCATGTGATGTAAAAGCACACGTTTTAGAAAGTCGTTTGGTGTTTTTTTTTTTTTAAGTGTAAGTGTTTGAATGTGAACACTGACCCAGCACACCTTTCATTGGAAACCATGAACTAGTCATTCCTTGAAAACATAAGTCTCTCATTTTCCAGCCGGATGTGAATAAAAAAACGAGGTGTGTATTCAGTTGTTACGTCTTTTTACATTACGACATCATTCTCAAACTGCACTTCTGTAGTTACAGATGCAAAACTGACTCAGACTCGGTCGATTCATAAAGAGAAATGTTGACAGGAAGTGTTCGGACACGTCTTGACAGGCATTTCCGACCTGCATTTGGTTATATTGGACGTTATCGAAGATGCTTTTCCAAGGACGCTTAATCTAACGACCTTTTTATGATTCATTCTAGTTTGATAGCCAACAAGACTTCACTTGCTAATAGTTTATGCTGCCATGTCAACCATATGTTTGTATGTAGCAGGTTCATTTGCTGCACGACTGGTAATATAATTATCTCAACAGTCTCTTTGCTACAGGAGTCTTACCCTTACAAGAATCTTTGCCGTGATAGCTCTTGAACACAGCCTGTGTTGTGGCACAAGGCCCAGCTTATGAGCTGAATGCATGACTTCCCATGCAGCACAGCTATTTCATTGAGTAATAAAACTAATCAACAGCTTCTCCACAAAAATCTAAGACATGCAGCCTGAGACACACAGAGACACCAAGAAAGAAGCTATGAATGTTTTTAATGAAGTCTCTTAAGAATATCAAAGCTGAATCTTCAGCATCATTACTTCAGTCTTCAGTGTCACATGATCCTTCAGGAATCTTTCTAATATGCTGATTTGCTGCTCAGTTATTAATAATGGTTCTTATTATCAATGGTAAAAACAGTTGTCTTTTCTTAATGTTTTGTGGAAACATTTTTCAGGATTCTTTGATGAACAGAAAGTTCAAAAGAACAGCATTTATTTAAAATAGAATGTTTTGTAACATTGTAAAAGTGATTACTGTCACTTTTGATCATTATAATGCATAATAATAAATAAAAGTATTAATTTAAGTTAAACACAAACACATACTCCAAACATTTGAAAGGTAGTATGTCATGGTTCACAATATTATAAAATAATAGAAAAAAGTTGCGCATACTGTTATTCTCCCTTTATTCAAAAAAGTTAAAAGTGGCAACGTTTCGGTCAAAGACCTTCGTCAGGCAAACACTGTTTACTTTGATGTTTAAATACACTGTTTATATGATGTACCCTTTGATCTTGCACCTGGCCAACACATTTGTGACCCTGGACCACAAAACCAGTCATAAGGGTCAATTTTTTGACAAATTGAGATGCATACATCATCTGAAAGCTGAATAAATAAGCTTTCCATTGATGTATGGTTTGTTAGG